TACAGAGATATGTCCTCTTATGACGGGGCATGAATAGTAAAGAGCTGTGTTCTGGAAGGCCTGGCCACCAACACAGTAGGCTAAAGCCGGCTCCAGACGTCCCAAGGCCCACTCCCGGCCTTAAGGAGGCATCCACAGGAATCTTTAACACTATTTAGCAGAGGGAGCTTGTCTCTCACTTACCAGGCGATGGAATGCATGCGTTTGCGACCTTTGCTTCTGTTTTATCATTTCCAAGATCCAGAGAGTACTGCACCCGCTGGCAATCAATTTATCTCGATTGATAAAAAGGGGTTAACAAAACCCCCTTAGAAGCACAAACCAGGAGGAAGTGATATATCTTTCCGGTGCCTTCTTCGTGCTGCCCATAAAGAGAGCACGCCGTTTCTTCCTTCCCAGCGAGCCTCCCCGGCTCCCTCTACCCGGTGAGTCATTTATAATCCTTATTATTGCCAAGCCACGCGCTGATGCGACATCCATCATATTTCCACGTGCCGGGGGTTCTCCGTGCGACGGTGTGAGCGCTGAGAGGCACAACGTCCTCTAATTTATAGGAAAATCCATGCAGAAGTGGGTTATCAAACATCACCAACGTGACTTCATACTCTCGAAAGTAAAAAAAAAAAAAAAATTAGCATGAAATATAAAACATGCTAAAATTTAATCTCTTGTTGGAGCACAGCACAGCGCAGAGAGCACCCTGTGAGTGACACGCAGGGATGTCACCAACAGATCAGAAGCAGGGGTGCGTTCAAATGAGGCACAATGAACACTTCCCGGTCAAACCTGAAGCTGTGGAGTTAAGGAGGCACGTCTGTGGTGTGTCGATCGTTTTATTCACCCACAGCACCTGTGAGGAAAATGCAATGTGGCAGATTAAAAATCCCCGCTACGTACCCAGCGAATGCTCATATGATGGGAAGGAGCGGGCCCGTCCACCGCCTGGTCTCCTGTAAATCTCTCTCCCGCACCGGTCCGTCCCCAATAATAAATAATTTTCTGGTTTTGGTCATCCCTGAAGAGCACACATGCTGTCAGGAAATAATTCAGGGCACCGGTCAGATCCACAAAGGCCTCCACATAGAGGGGTTATTTAGGAAGTTGGAAAGCAGCGGGTTATTGTTTTTTGCCTTAAGGAAGTATGTCTAGATTATAAGGATTGTATCTTGGAAAATCTTATACTGAGTCTTGTCATACATTAAAAACAAACAATCAAGAAACCTGAGCTACGATGACACTGAAACAAAACCATGACCCTCAGTGAACAGATGTGTGCTGACCTCCTAGAGACACGTTTCCTGCAGATCCAGTCCTCCGGGACCCACACCTGTCCGCCGAGCGTGGACTGTCCGCCGAGCGTGGACTGGACAGGTTACCTGTCTGCTGCAGAGCTGATCGCTGAGGCAGAAGGTGAGGGCCAAGTATGGGCCCGAGACAACCCTGATCAGCCACTCTGCAGTAACACCTTGATTTGAATAAAGACAAGCGGTGGACAGGTGTCATATTAGCCGTCGTTAGGGGCAGCAGCTGGGGGGCGGGGCACCCCTTTGAAGGCCTTCCTGGGCCCTGGCTGGAGCAGACGACACACAGCTAAATGCTGACCTCACCCTTCACTCGCCTTGCCCTGAGTACCACCTCTTTTAGACCCAAAGAAGATAAGAGGACAGCAGTTTTTGAAAGAGGCCATTAAAGGTTGAAAGGGGGAAGGTTACGTCAGTGGAAGAATAGAATGGCTTTGCAACAATTGAATGAAAACTGTTACTCACTTGCCCAGCCAGTATGGCATGGTGGTTGAGTGTAACCTATAAGCCAGGAGGTCATGGTTCAATTCCCAGTCAGGGCACATGCCCGGGTTGTGGGCTCGATCCCTAGTTGGGATTGTGCAGGAGACAGCCAATCAATGATTCTCTCTCATTATCGATGTTTCTGTCTCTCCCTTCCTCTATGAAACCAATAAAAATATATGTTTTTAAAAACTGTTTTAAAAAACCTCAATCCCATCCACACCACACCACACACACACACACACACACACACACACACACACACCCTTGGCCAGGAGCTGAGCCACTTGTTAAAGGTAATCCACAGCTACTCCTTGAAGTTTTATCTTCCCCTGAAGGCAGTGGCAGGAGCAGGCTGTTGTGTTCCTATTTACAGAGGAGGGGACTGAGACTGAGAAGGCGACACTCGCCCAGCACACATCCTTGGTTAAGTGACAGTGAAACCTCTCCTGACCCTTTCTGAACTCCCACTGGTCCAGGGCCCAGCTGGGAGAGAGAGGAGATGGTCCCAGGAGGGACAATGAGCAGGAGCTGTGTCCTGAATGGCAGGCTCACTGAGAACCCAGAGTGCCCTCTTGAGATAGACCCCTTGTCAGCACCCCAATTTGTCACCCCGGCGTGGGGACTGCCAGGTGAGAGCACCTTGCCCTGGAGCTGAAGTCCCCAAGGGGAAACTGGAGCTCAGGTCACCTTCCTCCTGAGCCACTCCCCCTGCATGTGGTATGCAAGGCGGCGGCAGGAAGTGGTGCACGGATAAGCACCTTGTAACAGGAATGTCTTTACTGTCGTAAAGCATTCATGACATAGAGTGTATGTATATAATCATTCTTTGATGTACAGCTCAGTAGCATTAAGCACATTCACCTTTTTGCCAACCATCATCCCTGCCATGTCCACAACTCTTTTCATTTTCTAAACTGAGACTCTGTCCCCATTTAACAATAGGTCCTCTGCCCCCTCCCTTCAGCCCTCTGAAACTGCTATTCCTGGAGAAAGCCCATTCTGTCGTCTATTCCAGTACTTCAAACCGTGGCATCACGTTGCATTTGCCCTGTTGTGGCCAGCGTGTTTCATTCAGCATAATGTAGAGATGCTTTGGAATGAAAGCTGCATTTCCTTCCTTTTCAGGCCGAGTAATATTCCCTGGTAGGTACCTACCACATGTCGTCTATCAGGCCACTTCTACCTTTTGGCTATCATCAATGGTACTGTTTTGAACATGTGTATTCTAATCACGGCTTTCAATTATACTCAAAAGTGGAATTGTGGAATCATATAACTTTATTTTTTAATTTTTTGAGGTGCTATCATACAATGCACCAGGAGTCCAATTTCTTCCCACCCTAACCAACAATGATTGGCTTTTTTATTACAACCTGAATGGGTATGAAGCGATATCTCATTGTGGTTTTGATTTGCATTTCCCTAATGATTAGTGATTTGAGCATATTCTCATGTATTTACTAGCCGTTTGTATTATCACCTTTGATGCATAAAAGTTTCACACTCTTCAATAGTCCAATTTAGGTATTTTCTCTTTTGACTGTGATTTTTTTTTTAAGTATCTTTATTGTTGAAAGTATTACCTTTGTCCCCTTTTTGTTGACTGCGTTTTATGCAAGACTTCATCAAAGTCTTCCTTTTTCTTCCACCGGTTAATGTATTTATTTAACAAGCACTTTAACTACCCTTTTATTATGTTTAACGTTTAAAAAATTATAAGATATTAATTTTGTGGAGTCGAACCCTGGAGTCAAAAATAAGACCACTGGAGGCTGCTAATGGATTAAAAAAAGCAGGCAAGGATTTATTGAACTGGCCAGGACGGCCGCGAGAGCACCACACGCAGGTGGAGTCCACACTCATGACTGCGCCGTTCCAGGTGTAGGCAGTCCTTTTAAAGGTCTAAACCACAAACATTTCCTTTGCTCTAAATTCTAAAGGCTGGGAACAGCCCGCAGGGCTGCACATCCTGCTGGACGTTGGAATGTGGCCCTATCTTTCTAAAGCAATTTTTACAGGAGCAGAATCAAGCAGAGTTAGTAATCTCTAAAGGTTATCTGCAGTTTCTACTCCTGGAGCTACTGAGTCAGTGGGAATCAGTCTCCTGTGGTCCTGGTCCACAGGCACAGGAAAACTGCCTTAGCCTCCAGGTCTCCATCTGCAAGCTGAGGCAACTACCCTATTGTTTATTGTTTAAGTGAGTGCTGAAGCCAGAATAGCAGGGTTAAATTCAAACAGCAGTTTTTACCTAAGTATGGTTGCTACCATACCTCAGTTAAGAATTCAATAAACATGCTAGGTAAATAAGGTACAAATTCCCACTTGTCTTTTAAGTCAGAGTTGACTCCCTACTTCGAACCCCAATACTTGTCATGATGGTCCCCCCGGGAAAGTCTGCCTTGCTGTTTTTAACAAGTGTCACGAATATCTTTCCTCTAACATGGCATACAGTATGTGTATTTAGAAGGATGCGGTGTAGCTAAGCTGTTTACAACGTCAGTGATCTGGGCACCCTGCTCACCATGCACACAGCTGGAATCCCACACCCGAGGGTCGGACTGAGAGGCCACGGTTCCCCCTTTGTATACAATCCAAGGGCCCGCAGCGCTGCCCTCAGCCAGCAGAGAAGTACTGCCCCTAAGGCCTCCGACCGGAGGCGACCATGCACCTGGCCAAACGCGGCTGGAGAGCTTGGAATCATCACACACTCGTCCTGGCCAACTCTGGCCAGGAAGTGAGGCTGCCTCACTGGAACTACAATTCCCAGCGACCCCCGCGGTCTCGCCCATACTGATTGGCTCACGGCGCCTTCTATCAGACAACCAGCCAGGAAGAGAGCCAATTACGAGGGCGAGAAGGCGGGCGCTCCTCCCTCCGATCCGAGGCCTGCAGTCGAAGCGTGGTGGGTCCCTTAAAAAGTTAAGAGCTTCATCACTGCTTTAGTGATGTCAGAAGCGAGAGGCCGGCCCTCGCTGCAAAATGAAGACCCGGGGCAGGCGTCCCTTCCGTCCCGAAGACTCTGGTCTCCGCTACTCCTGCCTGAAGCGCCCGCCCCGGCGGGACTCCAGTGGCCAGGCGGAACCCCGCCCCCATTCCTCATTGGCTCCCGCGGGACACGTGGAGGCAGGGGGCGCGGACGCGGCGGCGTGGGCGGGGCGCCCGGCCTCGGGGGGAGATGATCGATAGTCCCGCGGACTCGGGCCTGTGGGTCGCATGGACACCCTGGCGCTGGGCCGGTGGCGTCGGCGGAGGCCGGAGGAGCTGCAGGTTCCGGGGGACGCGGTGAGCCCCCGGGGGTCTGGGCGTGAGGAACCGGAAGGCGGGGTCCTCGGGCTGGCCCGCAGGGGGCTTCGCGTCTGTCTCCCGGCGGCCCCTTCCGTGGGGAGGCCCGGCTGGCAGCGGCCCGCGTGCACCTGCTGGGGCGGGGCCAGGGGTGGTGGGCGGGGCCCTCCCTCCTGCCGCGCCTGCGCAGAAGTCGGGACTGGTTTGCCGCCAGACCAGACCCGCACGCTGTCCGGGACCAGTGACAACCAGTGACCGTCTAGGTGCAGGGGCCTCCCTGCAGGGCTTGAGGCCGCGGAGTCTGGGCCAGGGGGTGGCGTTGTTCCTGCGCCCCGCCTCCCGTGCAGGCGCTGGCTGGTGCGGTAGGAGTGCTGGTGGGGCAGACTGATCCGTCCCGCCTGGGTGGAGTGTTCTGACCCGGGAGAACCGGGTGGGAGGCGATGGCGTGGGTGGGTGGTCGGGTGGGTGCGAGACTGGGAGGGAAAACTGTGGGACGTGGGAAGGCACCTCCTCCCCTTTCCAGGAACCCAAAGAAGTCCATGGGGTTGAAGCGGGCATCACTCCCTGTCATCTTCCGCCTCTGTCTGCCCATGGCTGGCTCGTCTCCACCTGGGTCATTCTGGGGTTCTGCCCCAGGGCACGGGCCGCTGCCTGCACACCCAGCGGCGGACTTCCCTCTGTCTGCTTCTCCTGGACCCACAGGCTCCAGGAGACAGATCTCGCACAGTAGGATAAGTGGCTTAACTTTCTCCCCTGCAGCATCTCTTTGTTTCCTGGCCACCCTCTCACTGCCTGGTCACTAGGCCAGCATCACTTACGTCAGAGCCACACCCCACTTCCGGGGACCATGTTCCTAGGGCACAGGTGTAGCTTCTGTAACAGGGCGACTTCATACCACATTGGCTCAAACAAGGCTGGCAAGGGGGGCAGTTGGGGGAGAAGGTCAGCAGAGGGGAGCACTTGAGGGCAAGCAGGCCACCATGCAGAGTGGTTAGGGGTGATTAGGCAGGCAGGCAGGTGAGCAGTTAGGAGCTAGTGGTCCTGGATTTTGAGAGGGATGTCCGAATGCCAGTTTAGGCCTGATCCCTCTAAACCTGCAGTCAGACATCCCCTGAGGGTCCCAGATTGGACAGGATGCAGGCTGGGCTGAGGGATACTCCCTCCCCTTCCCCCTCCCTCCCCCCCCCCCCCCCCCGCACAAATTTCATGCACCAGGCCATTAGTATAACAGATTATATTGTACTTGATAAATATTGCAAGCCTAAGATTACTCCCCAATAAGTATAGTATGTTCACTTATGTCTTTTTACTTTAATTCGAAATAAAAGTGATTTTTCTTTGCTCTTCTTTGCTTATCTTCTTCTAGATAACACGCTCTCATAGAATGAAGTTGCATTCTTACTTCTGACCACTGGCTTGCCTTGTCTCCTCATAAGTTTCCTTCTCTTTGCCAGGCTAGATTGGTCAAGAGTGTGGACATGCACAGGAAGTTGAGTGTGGATCTGTACAGAAAGTTGAGGGGTCTTAGGACATAGTCAGAGCTGGGTAAAGCACAGCATCAAGATACTCAGATTCGGTTGACGTCCTCTATGCCCTGCTAGCATGGGGGTTGATGGCGAGACTCCTCATTTCCGGTCTTCCCTGTAGTTGACTTTGTGCCAGATTTCACCGTGTTGTAGAGAACACCTCCCAAGTGCAAGGTCATTTTCCAAATGAAAGTGTCATCGAGGAGGAATCTTTGCTTGATGGAAACCGTGCTCTCTTTCTAAATGGCGGTCTGTAGGGCCTTGTTAATCTCTCTCATCAGCATTAACGGTTCCGTACTCAGGCCTGATGGACGTCCGGATCAGCTACTGCATATCAGCAGAAGTAAACCTTCCTTACTGTGGTAGGATTAAAACCAAACTCAACTAAAATCCTCACTCAGCAAACTGTTCCTAGTAGCTAGGACTCAATTAGCCAGCATTCCACACTTAGAATACAAATGAATAAAGGCCATTAGTCAGTAAAAACCCTCACATGCCTCCAATCTGAAAGGTTAGGGGTGTGTGTGTGTGTGGAGACTTACCACTAATTACCTTGCTGAGTTCTAATGATTTACCTTGGTATTCTAAGTCATGGTATATATGCTTAACTCATATATCAGCTTATGTATTATATACGTTTAGTTGAAGGTGTTTGATTTTTAGGAACGTGGCATTTTCCTGCTGTGCCGATGGAAGAGAGAGAGCACACGATGCTCTGCTGTCGGTGTTGGAGGAAATTGGTATCTTCTTATTCTCCACCTTCTTCTCCGGTGGAGGGCGGAAGGGGTGGCCTGCGGCTTCGTCCACCGCACGGCTGGTGCCGGCCTGTCCCTTGTGCCGTCACCGGCTCCTGGTCCGCGGGGAAGCCTCTCCAGTCTGGTCGCTGCGCCGGTCCGCTCGCATCCGCGCGGAAGCAGAGGCTTTGCATTTCATTTGTGCCCGATGGTGAAACCTTTCACCCGTCTCCCCGCTCCTCCACGTCCCTCACCCGCTCCCGGGCCCCATCACTTCCCATGAAGAAGCAGGTCCTCGGCAGCACAGGCGCGGCCACACCTCCTCGGCGCGGGCAGCCCGGCTCTCCCAGACCTGCCCGCTCTGCTCCATCACTGAGGCAACCAGATACATGTCTTACGTTTTAATGTATGCGTCGTATCAAGTGTCTTCTCTTAATCGCATTCCTGCTTCAGCTGTTCTCTGGCGAGGCCGCTGTTCGATTGATCTCCTTCAATTATCGTTAAGTAATGGGGTCTTTGTGTGGACGCGGGTTTTAATTTTGTTTATTCAGTGCGCGTGTCTGTACAGTCGGCAGTAAGTCTCCGTCGCCTTATGAAGGCTGACAGGCCTCGCTGGAAGCTGGGAGGGGGAGAGCCGAGTCACGCAGGCATCCAGCGCGCGATGCCCCCGCAGCCTGCCTTCTCCCTGGGCCCAGGCAATCCGCCTGACCCCACTATTTGCCGAGTGAGTGTACGGGTCAATCCCATGCAGTCAGCTCCCAGTAATCCACAGCAAATAGCAGGAAGCATGAATAATTTAATCCACTCAGCTGACGGAGGGCCATCAAGCCGGTGATCCCCGCCTTCCCGGGGGAGCCCAGCCTCAGCCCAGCACCTTGGTATCAGCGTGGGTCCTCCTGCCACCTGCCACCGAGGCGGGAGCCGGCCTCCGCGGCCACCTGAGCCCCCCAGAGGACCTCGGCTTGTCGCCATGGATACTCACCAGTCCGCTGACCTTCACGTGCCAGTTGTTCTGTGACCCCGCCCAGACATGCTTCCAGATGTCACCCTGGAGGGTGGGGCGTGTCACGGAGGCAGTGGCTTCTGCCTCCCATCCCCCACCCAGCCCTGTGCGCCTCCTCAGCGAGGCTGATGTCACTCCGAAGGCAGGGAGAGAGCCGGAGTGCTCCTTGCGGAGGGATGTTGCTGATGGGAAGTCCACGCCCGGGTATGAAATGGCATGGGCCACGTGGTATTCCCACTGTTCCCCTTTAACACGGATTATTATTTTTTTAATTAAATACTTTTTGTTGAAAGTATTACATTTGTCCCTCTTTTTTCCTCATTCATCTCTTCCAGCCTATCCCCACCCCCCACCCCGAGCCTTCACTTCCCTATTGTCTATGTCCATGGGTTGTGCCAACACAGATTATCGAAAGCTGACAATAAGCCAGTTTTAACATGTCATGCCTCTTTTTTACATTAAGTTTATTGGGATAACAGTGGCTAATGACATTATATAAATTTCAGGTGTCCAACTTTATCACGCAACGTCTGTTCTGTGCTCGCCACTCAAGTCTAGTTCTCTTCCTCACCATGTATTTGACCTCCTTTACCCTTTTTTTATGTCATTTTCATTCTCTTGGTTGTGTTCCTTCTTTCCCCAAGGCCCCTCACTAGTGTTCGTTTGAATTCTCCTTGGGTGCTTTACGATGTATTCTTCATTTCTGACATAATTTGGATTTCCCCTTCCATTACTTTTCCTGGGTTCATTCTCCTCTTTCCTTCTTCCTCCCTGTTTTGGTCCCTTTCTGTTTTTAATTGACATCTCTCATTCAGGGTGATTTTCGTCTCCTCCAGTGTTTGAGTACGTCTAGTTATGTTTGCAGACTATTGAACTACAGTTTTCGTTGGTTCACGGTGGTTTTTCACGAGGGAATTTCTATGGCGTTGGTCTTTCTGTAAGACCCTGGTCTGATGGCACCTGGTCCAGTCAGTGCAGCCGCTGTGTGTGTGTGTGTGTTTGTGTGTGTGTGTGTGTGTGTGAGAGAGAGAGAGAGAGAGAGAGATGGGGGGCCTGAGCCTCCTGATAGTATGGTCCTCTTGTGGGACCCGAAAATTTCTCTGTTTTTCTTCTTTTTATCTTCATCACCACTCCTGTTTCCCCTGTTTGCTCCTGGAAGCGGTGAGTTTGAATAAAGCCTCTTTAAATGGCTTGTTCCTTAGAATTGTGTGGACTTCCAAATCCCTCCCTGTGTCCCTGCTCTGGATGACACACCTACTGTCATAGCTCCTTTGCATTCGTAGTGGCCTCTCCCAGGCCACGGAGATGGCTCTGACCCTATGTGAGTGGTGCACCGCAGAGCCCGCATCAGTGGGTGTGGGCTGGGAGCCAGGGACCCACACTCAGATTGGGTAGTGTGTCTCTTTTTACCAGCCTTATTGTCAGATTTGGGCATCCTCTGTCTTTAAGTTTCGCTCAGGGTGTGGTTTGGTGTAGAATTCTGAGAGTTTCTCAGGCTTCAGTTTCCTATCATTTGGGAGGAGCTGTAGGAGGTGGTAACTGTCTTCTGCCCCCTAGAGGTCAAGCGCTTACCCCGAGGAATTACTACCAAGTGGCTTACGGGCCTCAGAGTTCAACATTTTTCATTTTAATCTCTACGTATCTGTCCTAAGGCACGTTAGGGAACAGTAGAACCAGCAGCCTAACCCTCTGAGATAAAGCTTCTCAATTAAATAAATCTATTAAATACAGAGGTGTCACTTTAGAAAATATGAAGTCAGTAACAGTACAGATAATAAATAATTTGGCACAAATCATGTTGAGGGTTTGCAAGTGACTGGAGAAGGTGTGGCCACGGTGTCACAGGCAGGAGCTGTCCTGCAGCCGGCCCTGCAGGCTGCCCGGGGATCCAGAGACAGTTACACATCTAGCTCTGTGTCAGCGCCCGTGGTGCCCTCCCCGCCCACAGCCTGGGCACTGGGAGAGTGAGGTTCCCGTTAGCTTTAGGGGAGTGCTTTGGTAGTTTACCGTTAGCTCAAGCGGAAGCAGAAACCAAATGCTCACTTTCCCAAAGGTGATCATTTAAGACTGGGTGTGCAGCTTTTGCAATAAAATGAACTTGGTCTTTGGTGTCCGTCAGAGAAAGAAAGAATTCTTCAGGTGTGGCTTCTTCCTGTTGCGTTGAGAAAGTGTGCCACTCACTACCAGCAGAATGTGTTGCAGCATAGAAACTAATTTCTTGAACAAAATTTACGGGGTTTGTGCGTTTTCAATATCAATAAACCAGTCACGATAGTTTATGGCGAGATTTTCCGTTCAAATTGTGAAAATGACTGTTTTACATCTGCAGAGCTAAGTAAACACCAGACAATTTAGGAAATAATGAGGTTAAGTGTAATTGATGGCGGTTATTCCTGAAGATCAAGTTTAGAGTCATCTCCTCAAACGTCCCATAAACTTGCCAGCTCCACAGGGTGGGCATCTGCAGCTGGCTTCCCGGGAAGGCCGCAGATCGGATTAGCGCCGGGTGCTTTGCGGGCCACCCCAGTGACACTCGCTGCCTTTCAGAAGCGGGTGTGCCGGAGCCGGAGCTGCGAGGCGGCTGCGCCGGAGCGGGGCTGGCCCCCGGTGAAGGCCGGCGCCCCGGGGTCCTGGGGCGGCCGGGAGCTGGAGGCGCCGCCCGGAGGCCGCCCCCCTGCGCCCAGGCCGGCCGGCGGCCAGGGGCCACCGAGTGTGCGGGTAGGTTCCCGTTCCTGCCGTTTAGACATTCTAATAAAGAGGGAAAGTAACCGTGGTTCTGACCCGCATGCGGCTGTCATTTGTCCACAGGTCCCTCCGCCCGGTGGAAGGAGCGCCGCGCAGCCCTGCCTGCGATGTGTCGCCGGAGAGTCTGTAAGTGCATTCACCTTCCCCTGTCACACAAAGGGTAGACTTGTTCTTAAATATTAGCCCCATAAAGCAAAGTTAATAAAAAAGGCAATTACGCTTCTCAGGAGTGAGGGGATGTGAATAAAAAGGTGCCGTTTGATTTAAGCTTTTCTTAGCATTCTGCTGGGGTGCAGGCTAACCTGTCTCCAGCTTCCAGTTGGAAATAGAAATTGCACGTATGTGTAAGATTCTCTTTAAGAGCAGGATGCAGGGCAGGGAACAGGCCGCTGGGTGGGATGAGCACGGATCTCTTGAGGACATCCGGGGAGGAAGGCCTGCCCTCGTGTGATCATCCACAGAGGAATCGGGGTTGTTTTCCTTCCTCTCTGGTAACCTTTTCTCTCAGGTCCCCCTGAACTTCCCATATACCGAAGATTTCAGGAGAAATGCAGTATTCACACCATTAATTCAAAGTCAAGGGCGGTCTGACACTGCCAGGGCCCTGTTCTCAGTCTCCTGTGTCAGGTGGAATATCATAAAGTATACATTAGCATAATCATGCCTTGGTTATTAATTTTGAGCTTATTCTAAGAACAAGTTAATATATCTTTGATAACCTCTGTAATTCTTGGGGGTTTTTCAATTTAAAAATTGGAATCTTAATATTGTAATAAAATAGAATTATGTTTAATTTTACGTAGAAACCGGGAGTGTGTATAAGTGTGTGTGTGCGCGCACACACGTCTGTGTATTTCTGCTTTTGTTCCTTAAAGATTTTTACAGAAGCGCATTGTTCTGACTTTGATAAGCAAAAGATTGAGTCAACAAATTAGATCTTCAATTGACACATTGCAAGTTATTATGGTTTTTTTTTTAAACATTTTAAAATATATTTTATTGATTTTTTACAGAGAGGAAGGGAGAGAGATAGTTAGAAACATCAATGAGAGAGCAATGTTGATCAGCTGTCTTCTGCACACCCCCCACCGGGGATGTGCCCACAACCAAGGTACACGCCCTTGACCGGAATCGAACCTGGGATCCTTCAGTCCGCAGGCCGACACTCTGATCTACTGAGCCGGACCGGTTTCAGCTGCAAGTTATGATATTTTACAGTGATAGGCAACGATTTTGTTTTATTCCCAGAACTACAAGCGTGTTAGTTGTCACCTCTGCTCCTGTGAAGTCATTAGTCAGGTATGAAGACAAAGCCCTGTGTCCGATTCGCCCTGGAAGGCGGGCTCTTTGTCCTCAGCTCTGCTCTCCAAGGTGACGTGCTTCCGCCCAGCGGGGAAGGCAGGGAGCCAGCTCTGGAACTCACTCTGCGGAGGCCGAGTCACGTGACCTCCACACTCCCCGTGCAATGCAGAGAAGTAATATTTACCTTGAGAAATGTGACCCTTTCTGGGCCCATTGCTTATTGCTGCTGCCCTCCCTTCTCCTCCCATTTCAGTCTCTTCCAACCCCCTCCCACCCCGGGGCGCCCTCTGGGAATGAGCCGGGGGTCTCTGCTCTCAGAGCTGTGCGCTGGCATGAGTGGCTTAAAGGAAAAAAATTTGGCTCGAGCAACTGATTGGATCATTTTGGCTAATATTCTGTTTGAACAACAGTACCTATTTGATTAGGGTTTTTCCTTCCTTTGTAATTCCCCAAGCTTGCCTCTGTTAGGTTTCACAGGAAATGAGTCTATGAGCAGAAAACCTATATTGATATGTAAATATATCAGGTTTTGGCTAATGCTTGATATTCTTTTTCATCTAAATTTCAGCAACCGACTTTAAAAAACCAGTTTCTCTCTATTTGTAGTTATTTTCAATAAAATTTCACCCAGCCTTGGGTGATTTAATATTTACACCCACTATTTCTAAAAGTCTTATGTAAATAAAGATTGAAATATGAATTCGAAAAGTCACACCTCTTGATATTTGAACAGACTCCAGCTGCATATATCTTCTTTTTCTAATAATATGGCTACTCACCCTCCTAAGCTTTTAAAATAATAAGACACTGTTTTTGCATTTTAGAACATTGGAAGTCCAGTGTTAAATAAAAAGCAAATAGTGTTTTTAGCGATGCAGGATCCCCGGGAGCAGTGCTTAACACAGATCACCAGCGGGCATAGCCCTGCGTGTCAGACGGCTTCATTAAACATGCCATGCTACGCACCAGGCCGTGCCACGCACCAGGCCGTGCCACGTACCAGGCACGCCACACACCAGGCCCCGCCACGCACCAGGCCGTGCCACGCACCAAGCTGTGCCATGCACCAGGCCCGCCACGCACCAGACCCTGCCACGCACCAGGCCGTGCCACGCACCAGGCCCCGCCACGCACCAGGCCGTGCCACGCACCAGGCTGTGCCATGCACCAGGCCCGCCACGCACCAGACCCTGCCATGCACCAGGCCGTGCCACGCACCAGGCCCCGCCACGCACCAGGCCGTGCCATGCACCAGGCTGTGCCATGCACCAGGCCCGCCACGCACCAGACCCTGCCATGCACCAGGCCCACCACGCATCAGGCTGTGTCAGGCACAAGTGCCTCCCGCCCAGGCCCTAGCCCCACCGCTGGCCCAGGGGTAGTTTGTGTGGGTTCTTAACAGGGATCTTGGGTGTGACTGGGAGCTTATTTGGTGCTTTCCCCCTGGGACCTCTTCACATGCTAATTCCCTGGTGTATGTCTGGTCCTAGTGGAATATCAGCTGATCAGTTCTGCCCTGAATTCTCCGCGTGACTGTCTCAGCTCGGTGTCCTGTCCCTAAGCTTTTCCTTATTTTTGTCACGAGTCATTTCTCCCAAATGCAAGGTCTTGGCTGCTCACATTTGCCAGGATCTCCCCTAGACCTTCTCATGCGAGGTCAGTGATCAGCAAACTGCGGCTCTCAAGCCACATGAGGCCCTTTGGCCCCCTGAATGTGGCTCTTCCACAAAATACCACGGCCTGGGTGAGTCGGAAGTGGCCTTACAAGAAGTTTAAGTTTTAGAAATGTGTCTCTCAAAAGAGATTTCAATGATTGTACTGTTGATATTTGGCTCTGTGGACTCATGAGTTTGCCGACTACTGTGCTAGGTGATAGTTACAGTGACCACTATTTCAGTAGCCACTGATGCCATTCTTTCTAGCAGACACTGTTAAGGTGGAACTCATAGATACTGTTACTTGGAAACATCTCTGGGCCCGGAGTTACTCAGCCAGTGTGACTGGCAGTTGGAACAGAGCCCTCCTTTCTCACGTGGTAGGACATGGTGTTATGTCACACGGGGTCTCTCCCTGACACCGGGCCAGGCTGCCCTCACTCTATGCACCGTCCTGGGCTGCAGTCTGGAAGCAATGCCAGCGGTCGCTGTCGTTGGCAGCTTCCTTCCTTCCTCAGAGGTTCCAGGCTGGACCAGGGCCTCGGAGCAGGCTTCCTTTCTCGGGCCAGCTCAGCCCACGGGGTCCCAGTGTGACCAGGAGCACACACCTCTCGTTGTAAATTCAAACCCGTTAACTGAACCCTTGGAAGGCTGCCAGAGCGCTCCTGGATAACCCAGAAAGATGAAAGGGGCGGCAGGAGAGGTACACGAGAAGGGGTGGCCTTATAAGACGGAGCCCACGGGAAGGACAGACTGGGATGGTAGTTAGGGGCAGGTCTGCATTCTCAGCACCAAGTGTCCGGGGCATCTGGCCCCTGACCCCCTGTAGCTCTTCCGGGAAGGGGCCGCCCTCAGGTTTCCCTGGCTCAGCGGGGCAGTCAGCGCCTGCCTTCTCTCGGCTCCGTCCCCCAGCTGTGTGTCTCCTCGCTCTTGTGGAGGCTGCACTTCTGGACTCCTTTGCTCTGGTTTCTGACACTGGACACCAGCGTGGTGGGAGGGGGTGGCAGCATTTCTCCCTCCTCCTTCCTGAAGGGCAGCCTCTTGGTGCCTCCCTCCAAGGTCCCAGCTCCTGCACAGGCCCCCGTGGTCCCAGCTCCTGCACAGGGCCCCGGGGTCCCAGCTCCTGCACAGGCCCCCGTGGTCCCAGCTCCTGCACAGGTCCCCGTGGCCCCAGCTCTTGCTGGCCCTCCCAGCCTAGGGTGCGGCTTCCCACAGCGGGGGTTGCTGGGCTGCCTCCCCTCCCCTGTGTGGCTAAGATTTCTTCCACCATTTGTGGACTTGAATCCCATGTTAAATTTTCTGTGTTGGGATGCCTAGATTGGACCCCACCTGGGCTAGTCAGCTAACGCATGGGCAGTTTCCCTGGAAAAGAAAAGAAAAGGAAAGAAAAGATAGCATTTTTGTTTTGGTTTTGTTTTTAGTTAATGCTCACCGAGGATATTTTTCCATTGATTTTTTTTTTTTAAAGCGAATGTGGAAGGGAGAGAGACACACAGAGAGAGAAACATTGATCTGAAAGAGACATATGGATGTCTCCTCCATGTGTCCTGGCCAGAGCTGGGGATCTAGCCTGCAACCCATGTATGTGCTCTTGACAGGAATCGAAACCCACACCCTTCAGTCCGAGGGCCAGCACTCTCCACTGAGCCCGCTGGCCAGGGCAAAGACTGCAGTTCTACATGCAGGCCTCTGGGCTTGGGGCCTCCCCTCGTGCCAGGGTCTTGGTCCAGGCTCAGCGTTTGGAGTGTGGCAGGGCCAGTCCTGGCTGTGAGTCACGGGATGGGGGGGGAAGGGATGTTAAATTGAAAAATACCGTCAAGCCCTCTACTATGGCCCGTCACTGGGGTTCCTTTGCTTTCTTTTACCCAGCGTCACTGGGCTTTACTGCCCAAACTGGAACCCACTGTGGAACCATGCTTGTTGGTATTGCTGACCAGCTCCCCACCCCCACTTTCCAACGAGCTGACTGGGGATCCTGGCCTGTGCGAGGGGCTGAGGGCAGCTGCTGAGGGAGTGTCTTCAGCAGCCTCTGTGCTGCTCACGTGTGACACTCGCTCTTCATTGCCCGATGGCGGGACGGGGCCACTGCAGGGGTAGGAATTCAGGGCCCAGGAGGGGGTGTCGGTTCATTGTTGCCCTGTAGGGACGGCAGGAGGAGCCAAGCGTGGTGATGACTCTGATTCTAAATGGACATACTTTTTTTGTACTTTTGTCTCCAAGTGGCTGACCTTTAAAATATTTGCTGTATTTGTTTGCCCGCCTGTCTCATTGGTGATTGCTTTGCACACCTGCAGCGTCCAGGAGCGCTGTAGCAGAGCAGGAGGGCAGCAGCGCAGGAGGGCAGCAGAGCAGGAGCGGACTCAGGCCCGGGGCGGGGGGAAGGGGGCACCAGACTCGGCCTGTCTCCTGTGCCCGCCTGTGCTCGGTACCGCAGGCCCAGGTGGCAGGCGAGACCAAGGCCAGGGAGGGAAGGGTGACATCCTGACATAGATTAAGGAAGATCCATGTGCATGGCTCGCTCCGTGTGCCCTGTTTCAGCAGCTAGTTCTTGTCGGTCCTCTATTCTTCCGTCCTGAGAGAAGAAAGCGCAATCATGGAGTCATCAACAGGATTTCCCTGGTCATTCTGTAAGAATGGAATTGTCTCCGTGCCTTCCCCCTCGATGGGTCAGGGACCCTGAGTTCATCGGTCTGACCCCGTCAGGTTAGAGATAAGGGCAGTGAGGGCCACGGGGGAGGCGATTGGCCTGCCGTGTGGCGTGGGGGAGGGAGCGGCTGGCTCCAGCACCGCCCTCCCCCCGGTTCTTGCCTGGCGTGCTGTTTGCAGCCAGCGTGCCAGCATCACTTCCCAGCGCCGGGCACAGCGGCTGCCATGACACCCCAGGAAGGCAGCAGGGAGACGATGGGTCTTCGTGGGCCTCATGCCCAGGCACAATGAGAGCCGCCTGGCCCAGGCGCGGGGCTGAGTTTTTCAGACTGAGAACGCATGAGCTGGCCGAGGGGAGGCTTGGCTGTGCCCGTGCAGCCAAATGTGAGTCCCAAAATAGATGCTTCTGAACAGACTCCCTGACTCAGTCTTCCGACGAAGCGTCGGATAGCGAAAGCTTTCTCTGCAACGTGGGTACCAGGAAGGGAGTGTTTCTAGAAAGGCTTCACATCCATCATTGCTGGGCTCTGAAGGCAGAAGGCCGTGGCCGGATGGGGAGGAGCCTGGGCTGCTTCCATGTCCCGTCCGCCCAGGCGCCACTTCTGTGTGGGATCCCGACTCAGTATCTGGACATCATTTAAAAAAAACTCTATCTTAGGACGATATAGATATTTCTATTCTCCTTTTTCCTCAGAGGCGAGAGGAGAAATAACATTTATTCAGAACGTTCTACATACGGGCACTGTAGGAAGTGCTTTAACTATCTTAACTATAACATTTTTATATTTATAGGCATACCCCGTTTTATTGCGCTTCGCTTTATGGTGCTTCGCTGAAACTGACTTTTTTTTTTTTCTTTCTTTTTTTTACAAATTGAAGGTCAGACCATCCACCAGCAAAAAGGATCAGGTGATGCATAGTATCTTTACCAACGAAGTATTTTTTAATTAAGAGATATGCATTTTTAGGCGTAGTGCTATTATTACACACTTACTAGGCTATAGTACAGTGTAAGCAGCTTTCACGTGCCCTGGGAAGCCAACAGATTGGCATGATGAGTTCTATCGCGATACTCACTCTATATACTCCGAGTCGGCCCTGCCCACTCCGTAAGCACGCACCTGCCTCCGCAACGAGGCCTTGTCCACCGGGGTAGCGGTCACTTCGGGGGAAGCAGGTCTGTGTGTCGATGAACACGCAGGCACAGGAGGTGAATTTCGTCCGTGAAAACCCATTCCCACGTGTACTGCTTTGTGTTTCAGGGCCACTTTAACCACGCCGGGCCTCGCTAGAAGACGGAGCTGAAGAGGGACATTCCGATATGACCTCCCCGGGATGGCGAATGTGAGCCTCTTACAGACGGATGTGGGTGCACACCTGTGCATCACCCCGGTAACCCACCGCCCTCTGACCCAGCCAGAGGACCTGTCACTTCAGAGACTGCGGACCGCCAGCGCCATCGTGGGAGCCGCCTGCCCCGCAGCCCGGTGGGAGGAGCTCCATGGTGCCACTGAAACGTCATCCATGCCCTGGGAGGTTGGAGAGCCCTGTGGCTTCTGGAACCGTGGCCTCCCTTTTGTCCTTCTCCGTGGCTTTGGGGTGTGTCCAGGGCTGCTTGGCATTCTTTTTAATGAAGACTTATTTTTATACTTAAATGCCCTCTCTTACCCCGTGCTGGTGTCCGCGCCGCTCTGTGTGACTGTGCCCCGAGGCCATCAGGCACGGCCCCTCTGACATTAAACGGCAGGTTCTCATTTTCTTGGGTTTCGATGTGTCGTCTGACTGCGGAGACCAGTGCTATTGGCCCTGAGTCAGAGGCTTCCAGGGGTGTCCTAGGACGAGGCCCCGACAAACAGAGCTGGCTAAGGGATTGCTGGGTATTCCCCTTCCCCAGCCAGAGGCGGGCGGAGCCCCTGAGCTAGTGATCTTGTTGTGTTACCCACGTGGGCCGGTTCTCTGCTGGCCATCACCACCTCCTCGGCGCTCTGAGGAGCCCGGACCATCAACAGTCGCAGTGTGCAGTTGTGGAGGGAATGCACGTGGGAAAGACAGACAGAGGGGACAAGGAGCCGGAGGACACTAATAAATGCTGCCAGTGATGTGCACTCTCAGGACTGCTGGAAAGGAAGCTGGCGCTCCAGCCCAGCCAATGGCCGAGGCAGTGGCGGGAGGAAGGGGGGATTTTGGGGGTGCAGGTCATGGGGAAAGAGATGTCTGTTCCCAATTGGCCTGTCCCCTTGGCCAGTGGGTGCGGTGCCCATAGACTGGGGCTCCATCCTTGGCTTTGGTGGGTGGGGCCAGGGAAGGAACCCAGCCAGACCAGCCTCCCTCGTCCTCCTGTCCTCCAGCTCAGGGAGGGAGCGGGACAGTCCGTGATCCACAGAGAGGGAGGCAAAACCAAATGCCATTTGCTGAGCCCGAGGGGGACGCATGGAAGAGAGCGAGGTCCTTGGGAGGGTGCTGTGGGCACTGCTGGGGCCTGCGACGCCTCTGGGAAAAGCCGAGCTCTGGAGGCCCTGGGCCTCCCCATTGCCCACTGTTTCCCTACCAGGCACCCAGCTCCCCACCCCCTGGCCTTGAACAGACCCTCAGGTGTCCTGAGTGGACACAGGATAAGAGAGGGCAGATTGCCTTCATGACCCACGCCACAGCCATGACGCTAACGCGGTCACAGTGAGCGTTGGTTGCAGCCAGCATTTCTCTGGCACGGCCTTTGACGGACACCTGATTCCCATGACGACGCCGTGGGCATGTTCCAGCCTCGCCCACTGTGCACATGGCACCAGGTCCAGAGAAGCTGCGCCACCGGAGGCCTCTCAGCTGGTCAGAGGACGGCTCTCAGAGCCCACCTGGGGTCAGCAGGAGTCTAGGCCACGCAGAGCTGTGATGTGACAGCCAGGTGAGCATCGTGGACGGAAGACACGCCTCTTCCTTGCAAACACCTGAGTAAGAGTGTGTGTGCCTCTCCTTGCAATCAGAATACTGCCTGTTTCTGGAAGGCAGAGCCTCAAAAAGCAAGTGCGCACAGACACACACACACACACACACACACACACCTGAGAGGGGATGGACACTGCCCACTGCTCTACTTGGGCAGGGAAAGGGTCTCCCCGGGGAGACAGGAGTGGCCCTCCCGGGAGATGGGAGCCCACCCTGTGCGGAGGCGCGATGGGTAAGTTAGGCTCTCATCCGCTGGCTGTGGAACGGTGCGGGCTGGAGCCGCTGGAGTGCCCGTGGCCTTCAGCTCCAGGAACACGCCCGGCTCGGCCCTGGGGCAGCTGGGGCAGGGCCGCCGTGACTTCCGCGGAGATGGCAGCTTCCCACACGGAGGGGAGCGTGGCCGGCTCCTATCCGAAGTGTGCTTCCCCGCAGAGACCACCGCCATTTGATCTATTTTTGATTAACATGTCAAAATTAAAAATTAAATCACATGGCGTCCCTCCTCGGGGAAAACACACTCGGGCTGTGAAGTATTCCCCACAGTAACCTTGAGACTCCGGCAGCACCGTCGCATCCCCGGGTGGTCCTGGTGCGTCCCACGTAATTAAAACGAACTGCCTGCCTGCCCACGTGTGGACGGTGGGCTGGTGCCTCCGGGGCAGGCCCTGGTGGGGGAGGCGCCGGGGGAGGGGACGGCCTGGCCAGCCTGGCCCCCACGGGTGTCCAGCACGGCCCCTGCCCCCGCCAGCTCCCTGGTTCAGTCTCACCCATCATCAACGACGGTGCCCCCGCTCCTGCTCAGCATCCTAAGCACATCCCATGTAACACCAGCGGTGATGCACATGGCCCAGAAACGAAGCAGGCGCGATTGGATTTCCTAGGAAAACGTGCTCTGCAGAATGGAGTCTAGGACCCATTTGTACCCGAGGACTTCGTCAGTCTGCCTCGGCCTCTGGGAAAGCCGGTGCTCATGGGGTCCGGGCAGGCTCCTGGCAAACGAGATGCCAGCGTTTGCCTCCACGCTGCCCACGGCACGTGCCACACCGACGTGATGTGACAGGATGTGACTGAGCCGTGACTTCGTCTCCACTCGTGTGGGACGGGACTGGGTAAGGGCGGCCGCCAGTGGCACTTTCCTGGTGCCGCCCAATGACCACGTTTCTGGAGTAAAGGGGTTAGCGTGGCGGCAGCAGCGCCGTGTGGCAGCTCTAAGCGAGTGGAACCTGTAAGGGCACTGGGCCCAGGGGTGGCCCCAGAAACACCGAGCCCCGTGTGTGTGTGTGTGTGTGTGTGTGTGTGTGTGTGTGTGTGAGGGCCCCGGGGCTGCGGCTGCTCTGTCGTCAAGGGCACACGGGGGGGCCTGCACCCTTTTAATCAGCCAGCATCAGCCACTTGACTCACATTGCCCTCCGGGCTGGAAGGTTCTGTTCTGGCAGCAGGTCTGGCTCGGGCACGTGGTTAGGTGATAGCTAACCCAATCCAACGAACAGTGATTCCCTAGTGGAATCTGACACTAGTTCAAGTTCAGTGTCCTCCACGTGCTGCGGCCCCGCCTTCCTTCTCGGGACTTCTTTCCCTTCCTTCGTGGCCACTTCCCTGCTCTCTCACCTTCGCATGTCTCCTCCGCCGAGCGCCACGTGCCTGCAGACGCCTTCCCCGTGACAAATGAGAAGTTCTCAACTGGAAGCCAGTGCGTGCCTGGAGCGCCCCCCCCCAACCCCGGGTCCTCCTGCCACCCGGGGGTTGGGCACCCTCACCCTCTCTCCACGCCGGGACCCGCCGGACGCCGGCGCTGCGTGCCTCTCACCGTCAGGAAAGAATTAAAGACAACATCCAGGGTAGGAAGCAATTGTGGAGGGTGCAAGTTTCTGGCCAGGCAAATAAATTGGATTTAAGTATATTACAGTCATAATCTTTTCCTGCCTCTCTCCAGACGGTCTCTGTACATGGAAGAATGAGAATGTATTCGCAGACAAGGCGCGACCTGAGGGAGAAGCCCGCCGGAAGCTGGATTTTCAATAACATAAGACAATAAAGCTCAGACGCCTAACCTGCCGCAATATGGTCAGAGCATAAAGAGCTTAGCTGCTAATAAAAGGGAAGGGGCTCCCCCTCCCGCCCTGCGAGGCGGACCCCCAGAAGGACACTTCATAAAGATCATAATGGGTTAGCTGGGATCACGCAGACACGGGGCCCCTTGTTGACCGATTGTCTGACACTTGTCACCTATGGGTCTGATATTAATAAGTTCCCTGTTGATTTCCTTGGGGCATTTTTGTCCCTGTAATTGCACACCTTCCCGCGGTGACCCCGGGAGGAGTGACATGTGGGCTACAGGTACCTGATGGCAGGATGCCTATGCGTCCCTCTCTCCTTTCCGGGCTGTGCCCACCGGGCCCTGGCACCTCCCTGGATGGACAGAGGACAGAGCCAGCTGCCCCTCCCCGGGAGGCCACGTATCCCAGCTTCTCCCACAGCGGGGAGCGTGGTGAGATTCAGGATCCGGAGTGATTTTCCTCTGAGTGTGTCAGCTTTTTTCATAGCTTTATCCGGGGGTGAATGGTTGCCACGCTGTTCCCCAGCCAGTGTAATGGAGGCAGGTTTCTGAATGTACCAGGTGAGTGTGATGCAGAAAGACAGCCAGGAGAGGGGCAGTGCTCGGACACAGATGTTCTCTGACCTGTGAGATGTCACCGAACCAGAGCATGGCTGCAGAAAACTGTGACATCACACACACGTCCTGCCTGTCTGCCCCTGCCCCCACCACACACCCTCTCCACCTGGACTGTCTGGTGGTGCCAGGCTGGTCCGTGCCTTACTTATCCTGCCAGGCTCTTCTCCTTCATCTGCAATTTAAAATGGTGTTAAAGCCAAATTTTCCAGAACATTCTACTTCTGCTAGTTCCAGGCGTTGCTTCATTCCTTGAGTTGTACCTTGGAGAGCCCGCCCCATTCCATGGGGACACATCTCTGTTGAGGTTTCATTCCTGGGGTTGTTCCTGCTGAGGAGAAGTGCATGTGGGAGAGCTGATGCTCCTGGAGACCCACACTGCATGCTCTCACTGCTGTTCGCCGGGGACCCCACCCTGGTCCACCTGGAGAGGGAGCAGCACGGCACAGCGTGCACTTAGGGAGGCTGCACGCCTGTCTCACGGCCACGTCCCACCGAGGGACTCGGGACACTTCACCCTGATTCACAACGCTCACGGAGCCACATGGCTTCTCCCTTTGATCGTCAGATACAGACCATGGAAATGTGCTCACAGGAACCATGTGGCCATGGGGCCGCCGTTGAGGAGAAGGGGAGGTAGCTGCTCCCCTCGGTGAGGCCTAAGGCAGAGCTTTTAGAAAC